TGAATTTTTCAACATTTTTTACTAAAAGATTATAAAGAAATAACATGCATTTATTACAACATACAGAGGAAAAAGAATTTGGAAACACACATGATGATTAGAGCAAGGCACATATTATTTACACCAAATGTAGTATACATGCTTTAGAAAGAATCTACAATTATGTCAGAATACGACGATGTTGGAATACTGAAGAGGGCTGAAATTCTGAAGACGAAATTGCAAACTCCTCCGAAACGTTGGTATCAATTTATAAATCCACACGACATTAGAACCCAGATCTCACGAAATTATATTTTTCTTGCACATTTAGTCATGTCCATACATCACGTGGTATTTTGCTGTATAAATGTGAGACAACTGAAAAATTATCGCTCCACGCCCTCCCGGGAGTAAGGCCATTCAAGTAAAATCTCATAGGTTTAATACAATAAAAAACGATACTTAACACCCGCCTTTAGAGAGATAGAGTCGTCATTAGGGGATGACAGATTCTGAGAGAGTGGATATACTGCCATCAACCCTGGTGTCCACAGTCAACTCCCGGTTGGGCCGTGCCTGCCCGCTAGCCGCTGATGCATGAGCAATGAGTTATTATGGCCGAACACGAGAATGCGTTTACAATTAGCGTGACCTCCCATATGTGTGCCCACGGCTATAGACGTCCTTTGCGGAAACAACGTGTTAAACAGTGTTCAATCGTCAGACGCGCGGATCCATATTCCTCGATATAGAACTGCTCCATATGAACGATCTGTTGGTCTAAGCTTTATTTCCGGAATATTTTAGGAGACATATGCCATTTCTGCACCACATCATAAACGACAAACATACAGTAACACAACTGTCATGTGAACATTCTTTTTCCTTCTGTAAGAGATATAAAACGAAAATTACTTCAAACGCCTATCTCGATTAACTACCTTTTGTTATTAAGTGCCAATAATAAATGAATTTAATTTAATTGAATTGAATAACGTCTATTAGAGAAATGTGATATATATTGTTTATGATAATACGTCAAATTACTTTTAAATAATATTTATTGCAGACCATACTTAATAATGCAATGCAGTTATTTCAATCAAAAGGACGGTTAATAATTACAGTGTTTGTGAAATAGATTTACTGACAAATTTTATTTCCGACTGAGAATATAAAACACTTAATACATTGGGATTTTAATTGAATCGGAACTTAATTCCGGAAGAATGACTCGGCGTACTTTTTTATAAAGTAGAACTTAATCTGCCCTGTTGTTATTGACAATTGGGGTTTGCGATGAGGTGAGACGAGACTTCCGAAACCTTTTAATTTACAATATAAGTTGTCAGTGGTATCTATGGCAGTGCGCGTGTAAGCTAATGGTTTCAGCCATAGGATACAACGTCGCAGAAGAAACAAGAAAACGTTGACCTTTTTCAGAGGTAGTTTTTCTTCTCATGCAAAGAAATCACGACAATTTTTAAATATTCATATCTATCTACGTTCATCGGATTTAGAAGTATATGTATGGAATTGAAAAATAAATCTAAGCTTAATTCAAACAAAACATATTGCTTAAAAATATTCCAAAAGTAAATTAATTGGCACAGCAACATTGAAAACAAGTAAACCAGCCACAAATTAATTTACGCATTTTAAATTGTAATTAAATATTGGGATTTGCATATTCCAAACTTTCATCAAAACTCAATCAGGAGATAAATTAAGAATTTAAAACGGCTAAAGCTAGGTGATGAATACACTTACAGTAAGGTTTTCCTTAGGAATATCAATAGTAATGGTTGTGGTAATAGTAGTAATGTTAAAATAACTAAAGAATTCAATTTTCTTCGGAGTCAACAATGACCATGATCTATCCCCACAATATGTAATAAATAAAACAATTCAGATTATGGCGTTCCGAAATTGACACCGTATCATCTTCTAGGTGATTACCAACTGTCCGGAGGAACCTACGACCTACATCTTCAGGATAACATTTTACATTAATACTTTTAACAAGATGTTATTGACAACGGATAACATTGTTAAAGTTTCTGCACTTCAAGGTATCCGACCTCTGTACCTAACATAATATTTTCTCTAACAGACTACAATTGTAGATCTTGTTGACGTTTCGGAGAAACGTTTGTATCTACCTACAAGTCCATATGGCAGCATAACTCAGAACACCACCGTCGAGATATTAACCGTCAGGAAAGTCTCAAACTTCAATTACAAATTGAATTTCAATTTTATTCGATTTAACTAACAACTACTGTGGTTCACAGTACTTGACAGTCTAAGTCTTTTATGAAACCCGAAGGTTCATTACTTCATCCTTAAAAAAAGTCCGCCGCTGTTACTAACCCGAGCCAGATGAAGCCAATCAACATTCCCACACCCTATTTCATTAAGAATTTTTTCTTCCATTCATTCTTAGGTCTTCAATGTGTTATTTTCTCTTCTGGTTTTTCGACTACATTTTTCTATGCATTTTCATAGTTACCATGCGTGCTACATGCATTATATATAATAGAAACGATGCTTTAAAGAGTTCTATCCACTCTTTCGTTGTGAAAATTAAAACATTGGTCGGTATAATAACCATGTATCACACGAAACCGGGAGAAAACTATCCCTCTACATGTAGTGTATACTAGAGGGGATCTTGAGCTTTTTGGTGAAAGATTACCCCCAAACAATTAACTGTAGGGACGAATAAGTCAAAATATCCTAATATCGGTCGAGTCAAACACACGCTAAAATAAGTGCACGATTCGGCTTATAACAGTCGCATAAAAGCACAATGAAAATTCCAGTTCGATGTTTGAAGTATCAGAATTTCTAACTTTAAGTGATTTGTAACAACAAACAAAATTCGTAAATTAACTTTCCATAATTAATTAAACTTTTACATTACTGTTCACAAAAGTAGTAATAAAAACACTAAGTATACAGACCTACTAGCAGAATATAATTCATAGAATAAATTAATGATTATGTACCTTTAGGCACAAATTGAAAGTAGAGATCCAAAAACAAGAAATATTTAATTCTGCAGTGTATGAATACAACAACTTTGTAGTCTTATAAGGTCATTGCACCAGAGATATGGCTTTTAATGCGTGTTCTCTTCCGAGAACTCTTTTCTGCAGAGATTTTCTTCCTTATTCAGAAGGTTCATGTTTTAAGGTGCCTTAATCCTACACTACTTCGCAAAAAGAGAACTGTATTTGTCCTGGATCACCGTGACGAAACAAAAGGCTGAATTAATGGAAAACGCTGTTTTTAGTTTTAGGCTCACATACGATAGCACATATCTCTCTCTATATATAAAATTTGTAAAAATGATTATGTGGATATTAATGAGAGGGTCATATTAATAATATCGTCTATTTACGCATTATTTAATAGCTAATACTTACTAAGTAAGAGTTACTATTCCAAGTGACAAAAAAAGTATTTATATTATATTTGCATTGAGACTCTTTGGTTAAACTAAATACATAACAGGTCAATAAATATAACGCAATAGTTCTTATTATTTCTTGGCTCTATAACCAAGTTGAGGATCTTCGCCGTCTCCTTTTCGGAGGTTTTCTAGTCTTTGAAGTGTGCATCTGTGAGTAGTGAGTGACCAGCCCACTGCCTCAATCCTGATTCGACTGCTACTTGGGTGAGAAATGGCCGCTGAATTTTGCTTACGAAACATCTCATTCATGCTCGTAAGGTTATTCTGCATGCCGTAAATCTACGACATGAGACCGCCGGCTTTACTTCCCCTCCGAATGAAGTTGTGCTATGGATTTTTATCACACTCGGCCGGGTTTGAACCCGGGAACCTTGGATCCGGTAGAGAGCACGCTAACCAGTAGTCCACCGAGGGCGACATAACGCAATAACTATCCTTCATTTTAGATCATTCAATAAGAGATAGCTGAAAAAATCATTTGCCAGTACTTCGACGTTCTTTCGCAACGGAATTATGCCCATTTTAAACACTGAATATCATTTGCCAGCACTTAGACGTTCTTTCGCAATGGAATTATGCCCATTTTAAACACTGAATTTACAAGAATTAATTATCTAAGCAATAATTTTTCACTTTACCAACATTTTCAAATGCTTTCACATACTTATACGCGTAGTACCTGGACACAAGGTAAATTAATAATAAATATATAAATAACTAAATATACTAAATAGAATTTAATTTAAAATTTTAAACAGGCACGATTATCATGCAGGAAATAAGAACAGGTTATCAGTAAATTCGTAGTTGTACCAAACTACATAGTTCACTAACCTGATACTTATTTTTAAATTCTCCTTTTTATTTATTAAGCACACAATGACTCGGAAGCTGTCTGTGCTTCTGTCATCATGTGAAAGTATCAGACATGATCTGTTGAGTCCAATCGATAAACCTAATGTCAAATCCTACTAAACCCAATATCAATTACTACGGAGATTAGGTTTGATACTTCACAGAATACTGTTAATCCTGACGTAAAGAAGACACTGAAAAGTACAAAATTGTCTGAAGAATATAATGGATTCAAAGCGTATTTCGCAAGATCCCATACACTGTGAAGAGGAGCCCTAATGGGTTACTATTAATACAAAAGCCAAGAAGACTTAATAACAACAATGCCAGTACAGAATTGTACACACAAAAGTATTCAAAACGTCTTTCCATGTTTATAGACACGGAAGAAAAGTAGTGACATGAGACTCAAATAGTTTAAGTCCTAAGAACATGGAAACTGCTTTCGCAAACTTCATCCACAACTAAAAATACAATGCCTTTGCTAAAGGGAATGCAAAAATTTCTATTCGATAATTCACGTACTTTTCATCTTGTCTGCTAGCGCTAAATACTATATTGGATTCACTATGCTTACTCACTTCTTAAGCACCCTGTCTATGCTGTGGCAGTGATAATTTTCCTGTTAATAGCTGCTTATTTCAGAGTCAGAACAATTGTCTTAGTGGATCTGTAGCTCACTCACCGGACTCAAGGCTGTTGTCGGCCTCGCATGGCATGAAGGTCGCTGCTGAAGAGGTGGCGGGAGGAGGGCTGAGAAGACGCGAGGACGTCGCCGCGTCAGCACCGTTGCCACCGGCACCACTATTTAAGAACGCCTCTGAGATTCCTGTAACAAGATGGCCTAGTCTTAGTCAGGCAACAACAGTCCTATTCGATAGTGCTCTTATATCTCCTCTTTACACGCGATATTATGCTGCAAAAGTGAAGCTGTCCCACTACAAGCCATGGAGGCCGATATGGGGGAGAGATATAGCTCCTATTTAATTTCGAACTCTGCGTTAGATAGGGAGGGGTGAGTGGTCAGTGTTCTGGCAACCAACAGATAGGATGCTGGGTGGATAAGAGAGCTGATATGGAAATAGAGGCTGAAAGAAAAATCTTCTGCCCGTTTAGAGGATCGCTCAAGTCCGTAACCCGGCATTATACCGAATAACCTAATCCGATCCGTGATATTATGAATTATGACACGGATTTTGAACTGTAGAATATGACTTCTTGAGAATCTAGTCAATGCCCTTATTCCAAAAGGAAGGATGATGCACTGTCATGATCACAGCTTAACGTGTCAGATTACAACGACATTGTTACATCTTTGTCCCGTTTTCATAACAGCATTGTAAGACATTCCATACATCTGGTACAAATCTTGCGTTTGTTACTTTATCGACTACCAGCTCCCCTACGATAACAATCGTTCTTACACTTTTAAAAGATTAAACCACAAATGTACTGGACTATAACGACTAGACACACAAGGCGTTTGGACATCCTGCTATGGATATTTCGGACTGAAACAAATTGCGTTGACGAAACTGTAGAATGCGCCATTTGAACTGAGCCAGGCGTCCGATAACTATATTTTTTATTTATTATGGACGCAAACAATAACAACGGTACACATAAAATAAATCTAATTAATTAATTAATTTCAGAACATTTCCATTTATCCAAACACCCACACTACTGCAACTGTTTGAAATTCTATAAGCTCTGGTAACATTAAAATTGGTTTCTTATCACTATGATCAATATATTTTAAGTGGACCATTGTAAACCACTAAAGTTAAAAGTCAGTCACATGAAATATTTTTTTCGCACATAAGAACTTTCTACATGGTTTGATACCTCAAAACTCTCTTCAGTTTGTCTTTCACTTTGTTCTGTCTATGACATTTCTCTTTGTCCTCTGACAGCAATACTCTCGGCATGATACTGTGCTTTCCGGAAGACACACCAGGCAGTAGGCTGAATATTTGCGTTATCTCTGGTGTTAAATTATAAACCCATCAAAGTGTCTAAAATCAAATCTGTCACAAAATATGAAAGAAAAAACACAGAGACTTGTATCCTGATTTCGGATGCCGACAAATGTTTACATCGATACATTGAAGTTAAGTAATGTTCTTCTCAGTTCCTAAATACTGGACTCAAAATATCTGCGAGTCTGAGCTACGTTACAGTAAGAGGGAAATCGGGAGCAGGACGCCTTATGCGCTATCGCTTTTCTCCCTCCCCTTATCTCGACTTGCTGGCCCAAAGATGTGGGTCTGTAACGGTCAACCAAACTCGGATATATCTTGCGACAATTATACGTCCATGAGGCAGACAGACTATTTTAAACAAGTCAAATTCAAAATACAAGAACTACGGACCACTTAGTGCCCGACATCATGTTACATGTTGATCAAACTTTACTCCCGAGGACATTAGTAGCAGCTGCAGGGGTGGTTACAAAGCCTGGCATATTGCTCATTCACCACCCATTTAGCCTCACTTTGCATAGGAAGCACCGATGTGGTCTTACACCCAGCTTTACACCCAAGCCTTGGATCCAGGATCGTACTGGTCACAAGTGTGACATCATTAATAATTATAACATCCCACCGGTGCGTTAATAAAATATAATCACGTATTAGTCTAACCTTTGAGCTCTCAGCAACGAAATGTAATCTCTGGAGAATGGCATGGGTGATACCGGTCAACTGCAAGCAATTTCTTACGAAATAATGTTTCTCTCATCTAATCAGAAAGGAAGTTCCGTCCATTTTCTATATTTTCGTAGTCGTAATCAGATATAAACGTTTGTCAATGCGCCATAATTAAAAAAATTACGAGCATTTTCCTTGTTATTTCAGACACCCAACCAAAATTATCGAATATGAGACTAGGCACGCCTCATTGCAATTAGATTTTTCTAGTTTTATATAATTACTGTAAACGAAAAATATACGTACAGTAAATTCAGTCACTCTTGAAGAGACATTCTTTAATTGCATTTCCTTTCTAATTATATCTACTGTATATTACACAATTTTAAAAAAGGCAAAATACATTCAGTAATCTTTATAGTGTGGAAGAAAATCGCGACACTAAAGCCAATAAACAAAACTGGTACAATGTATGCAAATAAATTTCGGATTTAATTTTAAAATGAATTCGAATAAATTATAAATAATCACTCCAATTTCTGATAATGCACTGTGACCACTCAACAATTTCTTTCACTCTGGTCAGCTCGAAACTATATCGCCAATCTTGTTTCATTTCTTATTGCATTCCTTCAGCCTTCAGACCGTCTACTATCATTGTGTACTGATTCTTGAAATTACTAGGACCACAAAGAAAAAGAAGTGTACGGAAGGCTCAGTCTTCATTGTTGTAAATTTAAATGTCTATGATATCGACCTCCAGACCCACCGAATTAAAGACATGTAAGCATGTTCTTAGCTACAGAAGACACTGAAATGTCTTACAGCTGTCAATGTTTCAAATGCAATATATTTTCAAACCATCATATCGTCTCAAATATGTCTGAGGTTTACATTAGCAGATACCGAAAAGAAGTCGCTGTGTCCGTGAATCCATATAGCGAATGGCAGATTGATAAATAATTCAGTTCTGTACCACTTCCCCCATCCCTTACCACTTGCACTGGTCTTTCGTCCCTCATGTCTATCGGGTGGAGCACAACCAGAACGAGTAGTGGTGTTGGCGGCGGAGGTGGGGTGGAGTGAGGCGCCAGTCTGTAGTCTCAGGTGGCAATGCGCTGTCCAAGGGAAGCTCGCTCACAGCGTCCTCTGGGAACTCATTATCGATGTGGTTGTCGCCCTGAACCACTACCCACCCTGCAGCCAAGAGATGGAGGTCGTCCACAGACCATATGCAGACCTCGTCACATACACTGCATTACCGCATTACATATTTATATATTTCATCATCTTAGCCAAATATAAGCTACGAACAGAGGATCTCGACGTATGGCTCTGTCAGTAATTCAAGTCTGATTCTTAATTGGAAGGTTTGCTGTTCGAATCTCATTAAAAGTATTCTTCTAGAAACCTTCGAAAATGTTACGGAAATTATCATTCTGGCCACTGAAGACAAGAGTGGACAGAAGAATAAGTTTAGAAGAGTATAATGGGCGTGTGCTATTTCACTTTAGAAATATCGGTCATTTTAAGCAAGCAACGGCGTGGGGTCGCGTATTCTCAGAATTTGTTTCTCAAGAAAGGAATTATCAAAAAAATGTTACCGTGATTATGTTCATATTTGAATAGGTTATGTTTCTTATGTAACATTAAATGGAATGGAGACTCAGTAATTTGATTTATTTAGTTTATTCATGGTACAAAGAATCAAGACAAGAAAAATATTTTATAAAACACAAACTTGGTTACTTCCGACTTCTTTGTATTCTTCGTGAAAATTGAGTCACAAGTGTTTTCAGACTAAACGGATCGCGGTTTACGCTCTGCGCTGGCTTCTGCATTGAACCATTTTAAATGGATCTAAAACTCATCGGGCAGAATTTGGGTACACGATGGACGCACTACGACAGAGCGTAGACTACTAGACAGTGAGATCTGTGCCAATTTTCGACTTAGCTTCCTCCAGACTCCTACATCTTCAAACCGCGCCATCACCAAGTCAGCGTAAAGCGTAAGGGATTAATGCAGATAGAAAGTTCTATTAACATTAAAGTCTGTGTAATTTATAGTAATCAAAGAGACAGAAAGAGTCTCCTTCATTCTTCACGTCGTGCGTTTATTTTCAAACACCCATTCGGACAGTTTCCTGTTGCTTTGTCGCGGCTGATCCGCTCATTCAGTGGGAAGCGTTTTGCACATGAACCGTTGGCAACGTGAAACACAATAACGCCTGTATGTGGTGCTTAGACTACTCCACAACGCTCTGTTGCATGTGGTGTTACCTGACAACCAAGGGGACTTAGATATATGGAATAAATGAACCGAACGTAACCAGTAATGGTTGCTAGAATATCTGTATTCCCAAACTGAAAGTATTAATAAAATACATGAAAACTAAATATTTATATTGACCACGATACTTTAAAGGTGGAGATGGCTGTCTTTTGGGTTGTAGCGCCGTGTAGTCTGGTAGAAGTTCATCAAAACTTCAGAGGTACTTGCTGCCTCCGTCATCAGGTTCCTTCTTCGCCATTCGTTTCAACGAATCGCAAGACCAAAAGTAAATGTTCGTTTAATGACGGTACCTGACTAATAAATTACAGATAAATATAATTACAAAATGATACATGAAATAGAATTTCAGTCAATCAGTATACTGGCGTGCAGATTTCCTGTAAAACTGCAAGTCCGAGTCAAAAAATACTTGGGAATTGTTGAAACCATGAGGGTACTGGGTCGAGCGGTCGGTCATCCCAAGCGGATTCCACGTAGAGCGGAGGAAATGGGATTCCCCTCGAGACCCACGTGGTACACTATATTTAGTACAGTCCCGCCTGTAGTTTCAAAACTGTTACCTAAAACCTGATTCTACTCGGATATTTCATTCAATATGTTCACAAAATTATTCTTTCTTTCAGTTTTTATCCTTCCAATCATAAGACGTACTTAATTGAGCATTAGAAAATTAGTAATGTGCACAAATAATCGATTAATCTGGGGTTCTATCAGACATTCTCTCTAGATATAAATTACGAAACTATTTAACTGCATATTCTATGCTGTATATATTACATGGCATATATTTATATGGGAATTTGGTCAGGCGCAATAATTCAATGTTGAATGTGTGTGTGCCCCTACAGGCTAATACAGTAAGGATTAAATTCCTTTACAGAAA